CTGCAGTATTATGTTTACTCATCCTTTCTTATTACTAATTCTGCTGTCAGCAGATACCCCCAAAGCCCACAGGCTCTTTCCCTCCCTCATGCCTGTCCACAGCCACAGCAGATTGCCATCCTCTATCAGCTAATTCATCAGTCCTGGTGGCAGATGTCTGTGTGGTGAAACCTAAAGGTTCCAGCCCAGCAGATGACTCAGAGTTTAGCATGCTGGGGCTTCATTTCAGCTCTATGTTTTGCTTTGAATCGATGAAAACTTTCACCCAGAATAGTATTAAAAGTATGCAAAGGCTGCAACATCAAGCACTCCAAAGTCAGGAATGGATACAGAAAAGTTACTTAAGCAGAAATAATTTAAATTTTAGTATATGTATGCATGACAAAGGAGATGATAATTAAAAAGCACATCCCAGGTGAGTGGTTTTTTTGTTTTCTTTTTGGTCATCATTTTGTTTTCTTTAGCTCACTCAGGTCACAAGGTGAATAGCATCTAGCAAAGGAATCATTTGCATGTAGGACTTCAGTCTCAATGACAGCAGGACGTAGAAAACAGGCAGAATAGAAGAAAAACGGAAGAAAGAAGACAAGCTCTAGTGTTGCAGTGTGAGTTCCTGGGAGCACTGAATCCCATTTCTGCATTTTCATTTGGGAGAGGCAAATTACTAGAAATAGATTCATTCCAAGGAATCAGTAGCTACCTAGTCCTTTTCTTCTGTGTCCTAAGAACTCCAAATGACAGAAACAGTCTATCCCAATCTTCCTCACAGAAGGAATAGGTAGAAACAAGACAATGAACTTATCAATCTTTGCTGAATGACATGAAACAAATCTGATTCCAGGCATCTTAAATCATCTATCACAAACGAGTAGGTACTTCTGATCATAACTGTCTGTTTGTTTCCTATCCATACAAGGATAATACATTTATCTCTCATAGGGATCCCCCCCCAAAAATAATCAACACTTCTGAAATGCTCCTAGGGTACAACAATGAGCAAAACAAAAGAGCCCACAAGGAGATTAACAATTCTATCCTCAGAGCAGGATCTCAATAGCACACAGTAAATACAGGACAAAGCAGCACAATGAACGCTGAAGCTAAACCAAAATGCTGAATAGCTGCTTATTATGTGGAAGTTTTCCATTTGGAGAACTCGGTGAGGCAGGGGTCTAGCTGGGAGAATAACACGAGCCCCTGTGATTAAAGGCCACATCACAATGCACATGGTCGAGGGGACTGAGCTGGCACTGAGCACACTACCTGAGTTCACTCATTAAATCTGTTTTAAAGAGTGCATTTGCTTGTTGGGAGAAGTGCTGGATGGTCTTATGGAACCTGTCTGACAACCAAGCAGTTATGCTGCTCTCTCTGTGTCTGAGGTTTCATGTTCACGCAGAGGTAAGGACTGATCTCTGTTGACCACCCCAGTCTTGAGCTTGCCAGTACTGACCACTTGATCCCCACTCCAAAACATTTAAGCACCTGTTTAACCATAAGCACAAAAGTAACATTGCTGAATTCAATCAGATTGTTCATGTGTTTCGATCTAGCTGTGATTATCTGCCTTACTGGATTCCTTGCCTAGGATATAGACATTCATACTCCAAATATCTCTCTGCGTGAAGTGTGTTATCAGGCCCAAGCGGAAGTTTTTGGATCCACAGTTCAGCTGTTGGAATGGCTCATATGAACATGCTTTAACATACTTAAAAGTCAGCTGAGTTGTTTTAAACAATACATTCATGTTCAGCGCTAATTTTGCTAACCTGCTCCAGCACAGACAGGGAAACCATCAACATGTGTCACCTGGTGGAATGGGGGGAAGACATTGCTCTCTATATGGGCAGGGAAAGGTGCTTATGAACAGAAACAACTCCAGCCAACAGCACATGATCTAGAAGATCTAGAAGATCTGAAGATCTTCAGTGTCATCTACAAGACTGATACCACTAGAAAGAGCTGAAAACATCCCTTCACTTCATGTATGCCAACACAATGACAGTGATCATCAGAGTATAATTGTGTCAAAATCAGTGACGTGGAGATCAAAAGCTTCCTTTGTTCTCTCATTTTTTGACCCATCTACTCCTTCCTACGGATGATAGAGTCATTATGAAATTCAAAACACTTTAAAAATAAAATAAGTACACTTTGTAAAAGCCAGAAGAACAGTGAACCACAGGTGCTTTGGTTTATTTTTATGCAGTAACTACAGCAAACACTCAGCCTTGGAACACTCAGTGCTGGAATCACTGTAGTTGTGTGTGTGCCTCATATCCACTTCACTTATTTCTGAGTCAGTCATCCTCCCTGCTCCAAAATGAACTTTTTTTCAAAGGAAGCAGCTTATCTTCCATACTGCAGAGCAGAAGAAAAATCCTCCTATACAGCAATATTTAAAACATGGTTTTATGGTCTTATGGCAGCTAATTTTCCTTAAGTGATTTAAGGGAATGAATACATCTAAAAGTGTTGCACTGAGCTGTTCTGCAATGCCAACATGAAGCTAAACTTCCTCTGCTTTAAACAGTCCAGTCTTCTGTGGGCAGCCTCTCATGGCAGATCTTGTCTGGAATGGGAGGGATGAAGGTTATTTTTTTATTACACTATTTTTCAGGGAACTGGACCTTGCATTTTATTTCATTTCATTTTCCCGAGTGTGGGAAGACCTCAGGTGAGGAGAAGGTGGCAGGACAGATATGTTCAAATGCATAATCCCTGATCTGATGCAGTTTGACACCAGCCCTCCTGCAGCTGGTCACCTCTGCATGCAGCCAACCATCTATCATGTATTACTCATCTGAAAGCAACATTCTGCATCTGAAAAGTACTTAACATTTTTAGCTACCTGAAAGAATTCAAAGCAAGTTTGATTCTGGCACTGTCAGAACTTAATAAAAACAGCCACTGCTAAAGCAGGATGGTGCATTCACAGTCCCACACCCTCTCAGTGAGGCAGCTGGCATTTTTGTCCCAGCACTTTGGATATGGTCTTTCCATACAAATATTACTGGTATCAGAGGGACTAAGACCCTGGTATTACCTGAAAACAACAGTTATCCCATATACTGCATTATATTGCTGAGCATCCCTGAAACTGTCAGAAAGGCTGGTGTTGACTAAGGGATGATAAAACCAGACAAGAAGGTTTTTTGGTGAGTAGCTAATTCACTGAGAAATGGATCCTGGAAAGCAACCTGAACTTTTCTGGTACTTCAATCCAAAAAATATAATTTCTAAATAGTATTTTTAAAAAAAATAAATAACCCTGAAAATGAAATGTTACACCTGTGTTTGAAAGGCTCCTTTTCCTCCAAAAGAAATGAACTGGAACTGGTTCATCTCAGGTTGATCACTGGGGAGGGGTGGGAGACAGAGAGATTGAGGAAAAAAAAGATTTCCATTTCAGACCAATTCTGACCAAACATTTCTTTTGATTTTTCATTTTACCCACCACAGCAAATTAATTCATTCTTCACACACAGGGCAGCTGGAAACTACCAGAATTTTCAAAGCTGCCCTAGAAGGGGATGAAGCTGAAAACAATTTCCCCCTGCCTCCAAGAATAGCTTTATTTTACTGACAGTGACTTTTAATAGTGTCAGGATTGTAAGGCTTGTTGCCTTACTGGCTACAAGCATTTCCCTACACCCGAACTCCTTGTAATATTTAAGCATCTCTTTATTTTCGAAAGAAAGCTTTCTTCTCAAAGCAGCCTGTATGCTCTCTCCATCTTCTTGGAAGGCAAATTGTCTTGCTATTTGGAGTAGAAAACAGAGGAAGGACCAGGTTGACTCTAAAGCTCCTTTCTGTGCCTTCCATCATCATCATCATCAATCTGATACAGCTTTGGAGCCTTGGTCAGAGGCACAACACTAAGTGCTGCAGGAACTGACCAGAAAGACAAATTCTCTGCCAAACAATTAGCAGTCTAAGAAAATATTTTTCATGCAATTGAATTCCACTCTATATGTAAGGATCTTATCTATTAACCTATCTTCCTTGTACCTAAAACCTCTTCTGTACAGGTATTACTACTAGCTGGAAGATAAAAAGTCCAATTAAGATGTATTGGGAAAACCAGGAGTTAAATTAAAGAAGGTCTTATCCTATACATGGTGTAGCCAAGGGTAAGAATCCTCTTTCTTTATTAGCAAGGCAAACCAGGTCCTTTTTCAAAGCAACAAAAAGGAAAAAAAAAAAAATAAAAGGAAAAATTAGCAAAGCTTTAGGGAATTAAAGATCCAAATTCCCTCTCCGTAGTGGGAAGCAAAAAGAAAGGACAAATACCAGGAATTCTACAAGGAAAAAAATCATAATCTATAAAATCTCCTCTTATTTTTTGGTAGTGATTTTTTCCTACCCATCTCCATTTTTTTTCAGCAGTTTTTCTTAGGTGCCACGTTCAATAATCCTTCTGTGCTTTGATGTCAAACATTCAATAGCTGTCTGCCTCCCTCCCACTCCTCTTCTCCATATTCTCCGCAATCCATCTCCTCTGATTAGCTAAGATTTCACCTTCAAGAACACCTCTGCTTCTCCAAGTGAGCATGACTGTGTGCATGCGTGTTTATATAATATTTGCAAATATTCTCCCCCTCCTGCACTGCATGTTACACAGCAACCCCTGCCAGAGCTCCGGATTAAGCATCAATGCCATTCCATAATTCAATTTGGGGGACCTGCTGTTTTGAATCCGGCTCAGAGCATGAGAGCAGCTCGATTGAATTTAGGCCCTGCTTGCAGAATTATTTCATATTTAATCCGAGCTGAACTTCATTTCACTTGCTCTCTCCACTTCTGATGCTTCCTGTGACAAAAGACACAAATGTTGCCCGATCTCATGCGGTGTGTGTGTGCTTGTTGACTTCTCCCTTATTTTGGTTTACCACTGGATTAAACCACATAAGAGTTACTTGCACCTCACACAACCCTGCAGCGAGAAGGAGTTGGTACCTCAGCAAGGGGTTGTTCTGGCATCCCCTTTCCCCACTCACCGGATTGTTGTACATGTCGATGATGAGCTGTTTCACTCCGTGCAGTGTGGGATGAGCCCAAGGAGATGGATTTGCCCAGTGCTGGTTTAAATCGAACCCCATCAAGGAGCACCTGCACGCACACAAAAACAAACACACACAAATGACATGTATGGGCTGCAGCCTCTTCTGGGTTCTGCTGCAGAATTAGGGCTATGTTCTGCAGCTGATGTATTTAAATATGTTCTTCTGATGGGAAAAACAAAGCAAATACTCTCCTGAGGAAAGACTACAGTAACGGCCACTTTTAGAAATAATGTGACCAACAGAATATCACTGAAACACCTTTGGTAATTCAGCCTTCTTCCCCTCCATACCACCTGTGCTTGCTCTATCCTTTGCCTTTTTCCAGCTTGGCAGGCTGGCTCTGGAACAGTCTGCCTGACCTTTGAGGTCCCCTTCTCTTCCATGCTCTGGCTGAGGGTCTATAGCTACGAGGGTGATTCATACACTGCACCACCAGACCTTTAGTTTGCCCTCAGTCAGGCTTTGACTCAGCAAAGCTGTAAAGAGCATTGTAATCAATTAAGTAGGTGCTTAAGGGTTTTAAAGCATGAATGTCATTGTTCCACTAACCCAGGGCCTCAGTCTCTCCCCCTCCTGCAATTGCCTACACAAAAGTTAGCCAACCAAGACACCAAGTTAAAATGCTTATTGGCCATCAAATCCTGTAGGCGTTGAAGCATGTATGCCACCTTGGCTTCTCCTTCCTGCCCTAACTCACATCCCTCTCAGTACATTTGATTCTGCTGCTCCCAGTCCTATGGAGTAGTATCCCATTCTTTGTGAAGTCCCACTGAAACTCAAGAAGCTGTCATTAGAGTGAACACAGGAGAAATTAAAAAGCTGGAAGTGGCACAAATAGGGGGAGGTGGAAATCATGTCCCTTGCCTAGTGCAGAGATCACCTAGACAATCTGTGGCCACTGACACATGCAGGAAGAGAAGTCTCTCTGTCATCTCAAGCTGAGCTCAGGATCAGTGGACCCTGGGTAAGTCTTACTCAGGCATTCTGTGAAAGACCACACAAATAATAAAAGCCCAGGTAGAGATGCAGCTTCCTCTATAGTAAAAACAAATAAACAAAAAAATCAACTTTGCTCTAAGCCTTAAAGCTTCTTGAGGAAAGAAGAGCTTTCATCGATCCCCGGTCTATTACAAGCAGGTCTTTTCAGACCTAATCTTTTAAACACACCAATGCAAACAATAGAAATTTACTCCTGTAGTGCTATCCTTTGACAAAAATTTCTAAGGATCTGATGGCCAAAAGCCATAGGTTTAACTGGCAAAAAGAAAAGAACATAAAAACTAAGAGTAGAGAGGTGAAATGCTAAGAAAAGGGAGAGGATGAAACCAGAGGTTGAAATTCATTTCCAAAACTGATGAAGAAATATTTTCCCATGAACCAAAAGATACAAAGTTAATGGGACATTCTATTGTATAAATTCCTACGGGGATCCAAGCGAGCAGTAGCTGCTGTGCTCCCTGGGCTGGGCTTAGACAACCCAACCATGAGGCTGTCTGGGGGCTTTGCAGCTCCATCACTGCTGAACTGGATGGCTTCCTGTCATGGAGAGGTCACCTCCTTGACTCGGTGGCCACTTCTGTGCTTGTATAGAAAACAGATGGATTTCTTTTCCGGACACTCCAAAAGCTACAATTCCACAGACAACTCTGTAAGTTGTCTCCGTCCCACTCTAAAGCAAATCATATTGCATCAGATTTCTCTCTCTCTTCTATTTGTCTTCATGTAAACTCTCTCCACTCAGTTCCTCTAAATCCTATTTTCTTTTGAACTCATAGACATTAATAAAAAAATCAGAAGTACTTCCAGAGATGTAGGTAGAATTACACTGGGATAAAACTGGTAGAAGAGTAGAATGAGAGGAATAAGTTTTTCATTTAGTAAAAGCAGAATCTGTCATGACTCTTACCATATTTTGGCACAGTTCCCAAGAAAACAACATTCTTACTGTACAAAAGTTTTCTTAAGAGCTCAGAATCTGAAATTATATCCTTTTATAGGGTTAGTGGGTCACATTTACATTTTCTTTTAATAATATTTAACACTAATAACACTATAGAAAATGAGCATATTTTGATTCCATTATGTTCATCTCCAAAGCACATTGAATTGGCCAAGCTATGTGTGCCAAAACAAATTTTAAATTCATACATGGATTGTCAATATTAAATTTGGGGGTTGGGACCTTTTAGACAACTTTACCTAAGTCATCCCTACAGGGAATAGAAGTAAGCGTTACCTAATTTTTGTAAGTTCCTAACTAAGGCATTGAAATTTGAAGTATTTGGATGCGTCATAAATGTTGGGTAAATGATAAATCTCATGGTTCATTTAAAGCAACAAGAACAGTTGAAAATAGTTGTTTTTGAGAAGACTTTATAAACAGAAGGAAGCAATGCTTAACAAACAAGTTATTCATTTGGGAAGCTCCTCTGAGCTCTATTTAATAGGAATCCAAATTAATTTTCAAATACCATTTAGCTAGTCTTTGATGTTGTGTATCACATCTTTATCAATGTAACAACAATTAATTAAGTTTCTGATGTAGGCATTACTATTTCTTCCCAGTCTGGAAACAGTGCAAAGTTTTCTCCTCCCTCCCAGTTTTTAAGCCTTTTTCTTCTTTCCTTTTTGCCTAAAGACAAATTTGTATCTACCACATTCTCTCTTTATTCATCTGCTGCAAACTCATGGCCTCTCTAAGGAAACATCAAGTTGTGTTCCCTGGTACTTCAGATTTGATTATTGACTCTATTACATGTAGAATTGTCTCCCAAAGCTCACGTATATCAGGACATGACCAAAACATACGGCAAGAGTCTCCCACATGCCTCTTACAGATCCTGCATTCATTATATTCTTTTGCTCCCAGATGATGTGATCTCTCTTGTGGCTAATACCTCCAATGCAAGAGCTTGAACAGGATGACTTAAAAATTGCATCTTGCACTGCTGTTTAATTCCTCCTCCCAGTTTTAAACCAGCTCATTTTTAGTACACTGTGCTGCTGGTTCTGCTGCTTAACTGTTTGCCTGCTGCTTCAAGCACTGGGTAGGCAAAGTAGAAATACAGATATAGTCTGGAAACAGCAGCTCTACGTTGGGGAACAACTGTGTTCCAATACAATACATAATCTCTCAGTATGAGATCACCTCTCTTACTCAGACTGCAAGTGTTGTCATTGGCTTCAATACACCTCACCTGCCTGTAAGTGTTCCCCTAATTTTGAAAGTGCCTCCGGATCTGCCCTATACAGATTAGATTTATCTTGTGCTGTAAATAAACTAATGTGTTCAGTAAAAAAATTACAAGGGGAGAAAAAAAAAACAACCCTAAATTATATCAAAGGGCTGTTTAAGGATGATCTTGGAAAGGGAGCATGGAAAACAGAAAATCAGAAGACAGAGACTCCAAGAGATGCAAGAGAAGGCAAAAGCAGCTTCAAAATTGGTGAGCGTTGGAGGTTTTCCAGAGCAGAATATCCCATTCCATGAGGCTTAATGACCATGCCCATTCATGCTCTTACAAATGTGGCAGGTCACATTGCCATGGAGCCCAAAAAGTGCTGGCACAGACTCTCACAGGTTAGAAAAAAAGTACAGCCAGAAGTAGTGGAGCTTTTTATAACAAGCAAAGTAGCACCTGATTGTGGTTTTCGTTCCTACTGTGAAAACCTGGGTTGTTTCTCACAGTCATTGCCACCACAAAAAATGACATGTATGCAATTTAAAATATTTAAGCTGATAATAGTTGTTTGAATTTTGGATTATGCTTGCTAGAGTTTGCTAGATATACAGACCACATACGATATTTCTGCTCTGTGACTGACTGTACATTTAAATCAGGTTCTGTGAATATTCTTGTTGAATTAGAATTCGTGTTTCATGAGTGTTTCCCAGCCTTTTTCTAAAATTTCTGCTTTCTGTAAGTAGATAAATTTATTACAGTGTTTATAAATTTACATAAACACAGTGCAAATTCAGTCAAAGCAAATGAGTTTCAAAATTGCAATGGAAACTGAAACATTTTGCAGTATTCATCCCTCCCTACTTGGGAGGCAGCCAGATCTCAAGAGGTTACCAGCTCAACTCAGTGAAACCAAAGATGTTCAGACCAGCATGCAGCTTGCTGGGCAGTTATCTGGGCAGAACCCCCTTGCCTCTGGGACATCACTGCTTTTAAGGATTTCCTTTGCAGCTGCTTCAATGACAACATCCTTGTCCCTTTCTAGAACTGATAAAGATTTAGTACCAAGGCCCATGCTGGGTTTATTTTTTAGGGCTGCTTCTCATTCTTTTAGGGTGTGCCTCTTCTTTCTGGAATCTCCAAGCTATAGACACCTCCAGGAACTCTGCCTTCCTTTCACTTCAGTCCTCCCTCCCCCGCTCGTTTTTCCAAACCATGTGAGTCTAAGTCTCTTACTAACAGACCCATTTCCACAAGGTGAGATATGGAGAATAATGGAGGAAAGGAGGTAAAGAAATCCTTTTTCACGGCATGTGATTTATTACAAAGAGAACTTTACACCCTTCCCTTCAGCTTTGTGAGGTTGCGTTGGTTCATTGGATCAGCACCAGGTGAATCTCCAGATAATGCCAAACACAAAGCAGGGAGTTCCAACCCACAAATGGCACTACCAACAGGGTGAGGATTTGAAATTGAAAAGGTAGTGGGGAGGGGGAGCACTCTTTTTTTTTTTCTCCCTCCCGGGCTCATGGCAATGAGAGTGGAGACAGAGGGTAATTGGTCTCTATTGTTGCAGTTCTTGAAGCAAGAGTTATAGCAGGGAACTGCCATGAGACTGCAGCCTGCAAGAGCACACAGGGAGAGCAGGTGTGCGGCGTGAGAGACTAAAGGCAAGGGCAACACACGGAAGATTTGCTTCTTTTAATAAATATCATTTTAAAACTGATATATTCACGACATTTTACAAATCAGCTCTACACCTGCCATCAAAGTCAGGTCTTCATTAGTGTGCATTTCACCATTCGGGTGCTTGGGGTTTGTGATTTATGCATTTGCCTATTATTCATTAAAGAGGACTCATTCA